GATCTATTAGAAAAATCTGATTGTTTTAATAAGGTGACCATGTTTTACTATGTAATATAATAATAGAGTCCTAACCAAGTGGGAATAAGGACTATACAGCCATGAGTAAACGTTTTAATGCTTTGTAAAGTGTGTTCTTCTTGAAATGTTTTGCAATATCACATTTCCTACACGTGATTCCAAGGAAAACCATGCAGAACCTTATGATTCCTTAGGACAAACTGGCTCTGTAGTAAGTACATTTATCCAGGGAATGCATAGCTAACAAGAGTAGTCTGGTGTTAAACTCTAATGGCTTTTTGTATGGTAAATAGATGGAGGATATTGGGATTGAACGAAGCATATTGTTTGGGGTCCAAAAGAGTCCTTCTCATTTTCTGATCAACTATATAATTCCTCATTTATTGTCAACTCTCCCACTAAATAAGTCTCAAGTAGTTTGTTTTCTGCTGTACCCTCCATGCCTGACACTTATTTCATGAAAGGCTTACATAATTAATGGGCTCAGAAGAAAGGGTGATGAATGGGAATGCAGATTTTTGGCTCAATGCAAGGCTTCTCCTTATATACACTCCCTGCAGGCTGGGTGGTACTCTCCAAGAAGTAGCACCTTTTCTGGGCTCCAGCTGGATCTAGAGGACTATTGGACTGAATGTTTTTTAGAATTATACATTGGAGGCCTTCCCTGGTGGTGTAGCAGGTTAAAGCACCACACTGAGAAGCTAAAAGCCACTTCTGCATGAGTTCTATTCCCGCCTGCCCCTGAGGTGACCACATGGCTTGGCAGACCTTTCCTGACCCGCCCGCTGCTCCCCTCAGCAGTGTACTTCATCGCTCTGCCTGTTCTGCTCCTCACTCTGTCTCTGGTGAAGCCTCTCGTCGCCCCCTGAGCCTCCGGACTGTACCCCAGTTCTGTATGCACAAATAAATAAATCTTTAAAAAAAAAAAGAATTACACATTGGAGGTGTTGGCTGTTCACAAACAGCCTGATAATGCTTGTGGTTTTAAAGATGGACCTTTGCCAAAACATGCATAATGAAGGGAAACACAGTCAGTCATATTGCAAATATAGAAAACTAATGATGCCCTCTCATTGAATCTAGGGTATGAGAGGTAAGTTGTCAGAGTTGGCAAAGAGACTCCCAGTCACAGGATATTGGCATTACTGAAGGGAAAAAACATAAGTTCAATAAGAGTAATCCTTAAGCAATGGATAAAATTCTGAATTTTATGTGGTAACTTTAATGTATTAATGAGACATCCAGAAGGTTATCATATTCAAGTAGATATGAAACTCAGAAGAGATTGAGGTATATCCTGCCCTTTTGTTAGAAAAGTCCACATATGTCTCTACAGGAAGGTATGTGCTACTTGTACTGATACCATAGGAGAATAGTTCATTTAGCTATATAATTGTATATAGTTGTATAGAATAGAAGTATAGAATCATTTCAGAGATGAGAAAACTGAGGTATAAAGTGACTATTGCTAATAAGAAGGGGGTGAATCTAATTTGAAGCCATGTCTTCAGTCTTAGTATGAAACTCTTTCCCTGATATTCTGCTTTATGAGCTGTGAGTCACTAGACTGAAACTCCTCCTTATCATGGAACTGAGCAGCTGGCTGTTCATTGACAGCTAAAATGTCCTGCCCACCTCCTGCCCCCACCTGTCCTTGACTCAGCTGTAGACAACCCCCCCTCCCAAATTCCAGTTCTAATATCTCAGGCTACCAGAGAGCTTTGCAGTAAACGTGTAAGCTAATGATGGTTACACCTGCGACTTTCATGGATGGTCTGGAACAACCCACCCCTCAATGCAAAGTCATCAAAGCAATAGGCTCTCTCTTTTCTCCCTTTTCTCTAGTGATGATGTTTACTGTGAGAGCAGCTAATGGATAGTCGATTTTAGTGGTTTGGGAACTGGGAGAAAATGAACTCAACAGGGAACCATGGAATAGTTGTAAAGCCAAGTGGAAATGAGAAGTGGAGGGAATTTGGAGAGGTAGATGAAGAAGGCATTGGGGAGCATTGAGGCAACATGGGGTGAATGCTGTGCAGCTGCAATTTCAGGGGGTACTTGCCCAGCAGCATTATAGCACCCCTCTTTGTACACTAGATTTACTTCTGCTGGAAGAAAAAAGAGAGATGCCACAGGAATACTGGGGGTGGGGAGTGGGTGGGCTATAAACTAGGAATGTTTTGGAAAAGTAATTTTCTGTTTCATAAAGCTGGCAGCAGCACCTGCTATAATTTCGCAACATTTCATGTGCAAGCTAACTTGTATTTGTTATATAGGAGAGCCTGACCAGCTACTACCCAGCAATCACAGAAGGTATAGAATGGGTCAATTTTTACCTAAGAGGACAATGCCTTGTATTGGAAAGCTAAAGGAATATAGATTCAAGGGTTTGTGGTATTTCCCCCACCAACAGTCCTCCCCCCCTAACCCCCCACTTCACCATAATTTAGCATTACTGGATCAGGACATGTTCTGTCCAACTAAAAATCAAAAGCTATCCTATGGGGAACGTCTCAAAGTTATAGCTGAAAGAGGTGACAGCCGCATTACTGCCATCAAAAATAATTTATTAACCGTGTCTGTGCAAAATACTCTGGTAGAGACCAACTCCCACGGGCTTCCTGTTTTAATGCATCCTCTGCTCTCTGCAGTCTTTTCCATGTACCGTTGGCTCTCCACCTGTGAATAAAATGGATACCCTGAAAACTTCATCATTGTGGAGACTATCACAGCATAAGAGAGCACTGGTTCTAGCATCTGTCCAATCACGCAGGGCTGGGGAGGTATGGGGAGGCTGTCATCCTCACCCTCTCATTCTAGGAGCTTGTGAATTAAAAAAAAAAAAAAAAAAGCATCTTTCTGGTTTCCACTTTAGACCAGAATCTGGGGAGAGATGACAGTAAGGTTTTGCACAATCAGCGTAAACCACGCTTTGCTGACTCTTTACCCTTTCCTTTTCAGCCTGTATGGGGAGGCTGTCATCCTCACCCTCTCATTCTAGGAGCTTGTGGATAAAAAAAAAAAAAAAAAAAGCATCTTTCTGGTTTCCACTTTAGACCAGAATCTGGGGAGAGATGACAGTAAGGTTTTGCACAATCAGCGTAAACCACGCTTTGCTGACTCTTTACCCTTTCCTTTTCAGCCTGTTCTCTAGTTAGGTCCCACACCACACCTGAGATATAGGCAACACGAGATGCCTCTCTCCTGGAGGGAAGATATCAACATCAGGGTTTTGGATACCAACTTAAACCGTTTTAAATTTTATTTTTTCACATTCAGTTGCCTTGTGACCTGTGTGCCTGTTCGTACTTCTACATTTAAAACAATACTTTGTAAAAAGGTAAGTCATTGTAAATCGGCTTAGAGGTATCTGCCAGGTATTACTGCACAACGTTGGTCTGCTTCACCCGCAGAAACTGAGAAGGAAAGGTGGCTCTCCAACTGGCGGCACTAGTCTCAGCCCTGGGGCAAGGGAGCGCACCGACACCTTCCCACGCGCACACGCCCTAGCTTCCTTGCCCTGCAGAGTCGGACTCTGACCCCCCAGGATCCGCACAGGAGAATGGGCTCAATATCTGTCGGCAGCTGCGTTTGCCACACATTTCCAAGCGGGGTTTTGCCTGGATCATTTATTTATCTTGTGCGCATTAAGAAACCACCATTAGGTGTTGGTGGGAGGCGCCACTACGCCTGAAGCCCAGCCCGTCCACCGCGGCTTTGCACACACCGCACCCCCTCGGCAGCCAGAACCTGCCTGGCGCAGCCTGCCTTCCGGGGTTCGCGAAGCCTGGGATCCCCGACGCGGTCTCCCGCCTCTTCTCCCCAAGCGCGATCCCGCAGTCGCGCAGGGGAGCGATTTCGAATCCTCTGCGGCTCGCTGCGTTCACCCCGCTGCGGTTTCGGACAAGAACCCACTGCGGGCGCCTCGTGCGCCCCCGACCCCAGGCTCGCCGCGGCGGTGCCACTCGCTGGAGTTTGACTCTCGGGCGGCGGCGGCGACGCGGAGCTGCCGGCGGCGGGAGCGAGGCGAGCCCGGCCGCTCGCCCTCCGCTCTGCGCTCGGATTGGTCTCTGCTGGAGAGTGCTGGGCGAGGGTTGGCTGCAGGCCGGCTGAAGAACAGGTGCACCTCGCTGCCTGGACTCGCGGAGCAGCCGCCGAGGAACGCGGCGCGCCGTGGGCAGGACAAGCGGCTGCCCGGCGGCCCCCTGTGTCGGAATGCGGCTCTTCCGCGCTGGACATCCCGCGGCCCGCCGGCC